CGAAAGCATCTTAGAGTATTGCTTGTTGAAAATGGATTTCATACTGTTAACGAGTTTGTGAATGCAGGGATAAATAGGAAATATTAATGAATGAACAATTTTTTTTCCTTTGACATTCAAATTGGTATATATTTTTTTAATTTAAGTTATTGACATTGTAATTAATTTTATTGACATCTGAAACTTACTTTATTGACTCTATCTATCTCTTTTGTCATAGGTAATAAGGTTTAAAATTAATATGTATTTCATCGACGTTTTAATAGTGAAAGTAGAGTCCAGTAAGACAGTGTTTTGATTTTACGACTATCCGACTTTGATACAGAATCATCCCTAATAAGTCGACTTAACTTTTGGTCAATTAAATCCGATTATTTAGAAATTGTCATAATAATATGGGCAATGGAAATGTTCGCGTTACTAGAGTCGTTAATGTAGCTTAAGGTCCATTGTCCAATCAAACATTTGCTAACGTAAAGTCCTTAGACACTTGTTTTCACCCCTTTCATTACTTTTATCATTGCTAATGGTTTTTGTTAATTTTCAGTTGGAAATGGTAGCGATGGAGCGAGCTTTGGATCTAAAAAAGCAATTGGTGGTCGAATTTGAAGGGGAACAGGGCGTGGACGAGGGCGGAGTCTCGAAGGAGTTCTTCCAGTTAATTGTTGAGGAAATCTTTAACCCTGACTACGGCATGTTCACTCACCGCCCAGACTCGCAAACTGTGTGGTAAGTTGTCTATACTTTTTTTTTTAAACTTTGGCCCACCTTAGGATTTTCTCCTGTGTCGTGGGTGCGTTTACAAACATACAAGTTCACATACACATTAAACCCAGACCCGGAACAACAATCTGTGGAACACACAAAGAGTTGTTCCGTGCGGAAATCGAACCCGAGACACGTTGCGCGGCAGTCAGTTGCCCAACCACCGCGCCAACCGTGCAGTCAAATACATGTCAAATAATTATTTGCAGCTTGGAGTAGGTTCTTTGATTTTTCGCGTCATTTCATCGGCTTTACAATGAATTACGTAAGCATTGCATACGTGCGAAGTAAGGGCGGGTCGCTAACTTATAAATACGTCAGAAAATAATTCGGTACAGTTACTTCGGAGTTTATGAACTATGAACTTTTCCGGTACATTTTTATAGATGAACCATAAAATTACAATTTTTTCATATTAACTATCGTGAGATAGTTAACTAAAACTAAAAGTCAACTAAAACAAATAACTAAAATTCATGTAAATATACTGAGAAAAGCTCTACTAGTTTCGAGCCACAGAGGGGCTGTTCCTCATGAGCAGCGTGCGCGGTCGCGGCGATGTCGCGCAGCCTACTGGTACTAGTAGAGCTTTTCTTAGTATATTTACGTGAGTAACCCGCGATTTTTAGTTAAAATTGAAATGCTTTGTTTTCTGTCTATCTATTTGTTCGTTGGTGTAAATCAGCAAGTTTGATAAAATCCTTTAGTATTTGTTTTTTTATAGTAGAACCAGAACCCCCTTTTGAGGGGGAAATATCATCCAATGACTTCTCCCGTCTGGGGTTGGCGAGAGGGAGTGTCAGACTCTTATTGACTAAAAACCGTTAGGCCTTAAGCGGCTCAGAACAAAAACCCTACGATATTTTTAATGTAAATTAATGCTTTCATTGTTTTTCAGGTTCAACATGACATCATTTGAAACCGAGGCGCAGTTCACGTTAATCGGCATAGTACTTGGTCTAGCGATCTACAATAACGTTATACTGGCTGTCAATTTCCCTATGGTTGTGTATAGGAAGCTCATGGGCAAGAAGGGATGTTTTGAAGATCTGGCTGATTGGAGTCCTGTAAGTAATCCTTGGTATTGTCGTTTCATTAACCTTTAATGACTTTTAAATTCTAGATTTTTTTTTATTGCGTAAGCCAATAAACGAGTGGACAGGTCACCTGATGGTAAGCAATCGGCGCCGCCAATGGACATCAGGAACATCAAGGCGTTACAAGTGAGTTCCGGCCTTTTGGGAATTGGGAATTTGAGGATTGTGGGGGATTCGGGGATTGAAAAAACTGGGGACACTCACTAGACAAAATCAACGCAAGTGTTGCTTCACGTCGGTTTTCTGTGAGGCCGTGGCATCACTCACTCGAGTCGGTCGGCCGGTCGAGCCGGCCCAATCGTGCCGAAGCATGGCTCTCCCATACTTGACATGTAGGTTTCAAAACTTATTATTCTGGGTTATTTCTTGCATAGTAAGTAAGCTAATACATTTTAAATTTATAGATAATATTTGCCATAGACGTTTGTTAATGTTTTATGAATTCTTAGATACAGCCTATATTATGTTTTTTTTTTAACCTTTCGTTTATACTGATCTTTCTTTTATTGTTTCAGATATTATACAACGGTTTAAAAGACATGCTGGATTATACAGGTGACGATTTAGAAGAAGTATATTATCAAACGTTTAGGATTTGGTACACAGATGTATTTGGCAATGCCGTCTTCCATGATCTAGAAGAGGATGGAGACAATATATTTGTTACACAGGAAAATAAAAGGGTAAGTTCTTAGTTAAAATGTTTAAAAAATTATATCTTTTAATTATTGATAGTATTTATAGTCATTTCGACGATGTGTTACCGTGGTGCTCGATTAGTATCGAGACTAACTGGAGCCCTTGGAAATTCGTACGTCTCAATAGCTGAAATCTCTCCACAATTAACGTTAATTCATTCTTTATTTTGGTTTTTCTCATTCTGCAACTAACTCGTTTTATATTAACTTGCCGAGTACCGTCATTATAGACACAATTATAGAACAATAGGTTGCGGTCACCGGTGACCGCTTGGTGTTTGACAGTTTAATACAGATTTGATAAATCTAACCATATTATTTATTTTTTAATTTTCAGGATTTTGTAGAAATGTATGCGGACTTCTTGTTAAATGAATCTGTGGAGACACAGTTCAAGGCGTTTAGACGTGGCTTCCTGATGGTCACTGACGAGAGTCCACTGGCTGAGTTCTTCCGACCCGAAGAGGTTGAAATGCTCGTATGTGGTAGCAAGGTAACGAATTTTCTTAATAGTTTTTAACATAACACATTTCGGCGCTTAATGCCACTGCAATTTAACATCCACTTTTCACTATTTATGCTGAGTCCCATGTAATAGGGAGAGAGCCAATTGCCATATACCGGGCACATTCGCAGACTTCGTGCTACTACTGAGATTTTTTTTAAAAACCCATTATTACTTTGCCCGACCTGGGAATCGAACCCGAAACGTCTTGCAGTCTTAATAGTTTTTAGACTTCGTAAAACCAAACTGTATTTTAGAATGGGGTAGATGACTAATTTTTATTTTAATGTCCGTCTGGTAGATTATTTAAAAACATTAGACACGTATTTTTTATTTTATTACGGAAACTGATAGTTTCGAAGATATATTGATTTGAAATGTCGCGTGACGTCACTTCTCAGTACATTTTATACTAAGGAATGACGTTTTAACCCCCACTCCTAAACTTTGATTCGTTTTATCTAAGTGTTGTTTTATTATACAACAAAATAAAAAAATATTTATTTATTTATTTATTTATTTATTCTTTAATGTACATAATTTGTTTATGGTACATAAGGCGAACTTAATGCCATATGGCATTCTCTACCAGTCAACCTTAGGGTTTAAGTGGAAAATCTGCGAAAACTGAGGTACGGAGAATAAACTAACAACAAAGAGAGAGAGAGAGAGAGGAAAAAATAATGGTAAATATAATTACATAATAGTAAATAGTATATATAGTCATATGCATAAAATATATAGGTATAAATACATACATAAATATATATCGACGAAGACCTAGATCTAGCGTTGCAGCGATTTTAAATAAAATTCATGAACTTGGTGTTTGAAGGAGATTTTATTAGGAGCTTTTTTGATATTGAGGGGGAGCGCATTCCAAAGTTTGATGACACTTATTGTAAAAGATTTAGAAATAAAAGAGGTCCGGTGGGAAGGTATCTCAAGAAGCAAGTTGTCCGTCGAGCGGAGGTTACGGTTGTGGCAACTGCCTAAAAATACGTGTGTAATATTTTTTAATTACCTAACTTACGGACTAATTATATTTTTAATTGTCATACCCTGTCATCATCCCCATTGACCTGACATTTACCCTAGCTTTAGCTCTTTACATTGTTTTACTTTGGTTTTAACTTTATACTCATAGCAAGAAAATATAACGTCCACCTCACTGCTGCTAAGCTATTAAAGTGAGCTTTATCGCATTCTCGCCCCTCATTGGTCGAGATTATTTTCACAACCAATGACATGGCGGATCGCGGTCAAGTTCACTTCGATCTTTCGAATTGAAAGTTACAGAGTAGCCTAACTACTGATTTTATTTTGTAAAATCAGTATCTTCAAATTAGATGTTTTCACTGAAAAGCCGACATTATTCTGCTAGGTGAACACAATAAGTCCCAACTATTTTATCCATTTAACACACCATATTATACCACCAAACTTATTTATATCTATCATTACAGAATTTGGACTTTGGCGAATTGGAGAAATCGACGGAATACGACGGCGGCTACACAGCAGAGTCACAAACAATAAAGGACTTCTGGAGCGTAGTACACAGTCTAACTTTAGACGACAAACGCAAACTGCTGGAGTTCACAACCGGGTCGGATCGTGTACCAGTCGGGGGGCTTAGCCACCTAAAACTTGTAATTGCCAGAAATGGACCAGATTGCGACCGCCTACCGACCGCTCATACTTGCTTCAATGTCCTCCTCCTCCCAGAATATGAGACGAAGGATAAACTACAAGATAGACTGATGAAAGCCATAAGTTACTCCAAAGGCTTCGGATTGCTTTAATACCTGTGAACAAACCAGCGTTGTTGTAAGCCATTACTGGTCTTTGTAACATTCACGAATAAAGTTTGTTTTATTTATACATGTCTTTGTTTTTATTGACTAGTGAAAGCATTTTCCTGTTAGGTTCTATGGTCGGTTTGAGACTATATTTGTTATAATTTTAATATTTAATTTAGTTTTCAATTTTTAAAATAATCTTGTCTTTGTGCTTAATATTGGACTTTACATACCAATAAATATGTTAAGTAACAGTTTAGACAATATTCTACCTAAATCTTGTTGAAACTAGGCTAATATAATGCTCAGTAGGTACTCTGAAATAGGATAGGTTTAAATAAAATGGCAGGAATACTATTGGTAACGAAATTTATTGTGGCAAAAAGTAAATGTAAACAATTTAAAACTGATTGGTCGTTATATTATACAACATCAATACATTTTAGTAGAAAATCCTTTTTGCTGATGGCAATATAGTGTAAAGGATTCATAAATGAAAAATTCGCTCGAATTAAAATAATATCGATATTACAAAAATGCGACATACAATATAAACTAAGATTTGGTTAGCTAAACGTTTTTGCAAATGTTTTTATCTTTATTATCTACTAGCTAAACTAAATCTAAAAGTTCATACCATCTGTAAAGTCCTTCAGTATGATTAATTTATACCAGTAGGTATTCGTCATATGTTATTGGATGATAAGTATTGCACCTCCAATCTCCAAAACTGCGAGCATAACATTCAGGTAAACAAATAATTTTTTTGAGGTTTATATATTATACTAATTACCTTTTAGTATAATTTGCGAAACAAGATCTAATTTCAGATGAATTTACATGAAAGGTAGCTAATTACAGGTCGGTCGTTAGGTATAAAGTTAATATTTTTCATTCAACCTCAAATAGATATTTTGACGGCGTACAAAATTCGTATAAATTCCATCTGAATTTAGATAAGGTATAAACAGAGTTGGGTATAAACACTCGTAATTCAGGAAGCGAAAATCTTTTGATGCTGTACAACTGCTTGGAGTTGTAACTCGTGGACCACGAGTGGGAAGGGACGGCGGCAGGGAGCGTCGGCCTGCCGCGGCCCTGACGACGCGGGAGCGCCTGTCACACCCGCCGCTGATGAACGACGGTGTCTGGAACAAGCAATGAGTGAGCAATTCCAATTACACTCAGGTGATAAGGTGACCTATTAATTACAGAGGTATGTAATTAATAAGGTCACCTAATCACCTTATGATCTTTGGTGCACATTTTCTAGCCCACTTTTATTATCTAGAGAGTACATATTAAAATTATTCTGATTAGTATAATAAGCCAATTAGCTCGACTCTTGCTCTTAACGTATAAGACTTACTTTTGCTAAGGTGATAAAGTGGGTAGATAATGCGGTATGCGGTGACCAGGGCACCGCACACTTAATGTTCTATCAGCTCAGGAGTAATCTGGTATCTGGTACTTACTTGTGCCTAGCATCACAAGTGCACCCGGCGGCAGTGATGGCCGCGGCAGCTGCCTGACGTCGCGCGTGGCGCTCGCAGACGTGGCGGTCGGCGGCGGAGTCGCGGCACGTCATCGTGTCCAAGCAACCCGGCGCGCTGCCGCGACGAGCTGCGCGCGACATCGACGCGTATGTAGGAGCTGCTACGCGCTCCACCTTCATTTTGTAATAGAAGGTAAGTTAGTTGTACTTGCCTATTTCCCAAATAGAAGATCACAAGCTACATAGCTGTTACAGAATGTTACTTTTACCTCAAAGCTAGCCTTACGACGTCTCCTCCGAGGTGACAGTGCAGCAGTTTCGGTGCGCTTGCGTCGTTGCGGCTGTGGAGCGCCTGCGCCGGGCCCAAACAACCCGCGGTCCTCGGCCACTCGGATCATAAACTTAGCGTCGAGCCGGGTGATCTCCTGCGGTCAACCTACCGTTGTGCAAGGCCTAGGTCTCGAAACCACAATAAAGAAGCAATAACAACTCACAAAAAATGTTTCATATGCCTATAATTTTCAAGATAAATGCTATTAAACAAAAATAAGCCAGGCAGATCCATGAAAAAACATTTTAAATGCTGACTTTTGGTGTTTAAATATCAAATCTCACATTTCTAGAGCAGTTATTGCTTGTATATAAGTAAACCATGTCACTAATTGAATACAGAAATGCTAACCTTTCTCTGAATTAAACCGAGGAAACACCCGTCTCTGTCCAGAATGTAGTTGATATCCAAACCATTCCCCAGATTCGGTAGTGTCCTTATTTCAAATAGATCACAACTTGGCACCTGGAATAGCCGGAAATTACTCTTATAGAAAATGTTGTTGATAAGGTCTATTTTTGCGTGCCATACTTACAATAACATTAGGGCTGTCTTTATCAGGGTCTTTCGGTATGTCACAGTTCGGCATTGTAGGGATAGGTCTCGCTTTAGTTGTCCCTGGAGATGTGTGCACATCCATATTTTCCGCTTGTTTCTTCAGTGCCGTGGTACTAGACTTGTTCTTGGCTGTACTTGGCCGGGAACCCGAAGGCGATCCCGTGGGTGAACATTCACTGAGGGACATTTCATCGTCTTCATTCTCATCCTTGTCTAATTCGGAATGTGAAACGGACCCAAGAGATGATACGGATTCATTCGGTTCCAGAGGTTCATTAGCAGCGTTAGCACCGACGACTACAGTTTCATTTACGACTGATAGAGCAGTTTGCTTTTGTGGGCTCTGAAACAAATTGAAATATACATTGGTCGGTTTTCTAAGGTCAAACAAGTTACACCAAACTCCGCTTAAGTTAATTAATAAATAGTAACTTTACTAGTATGATTTGGACAATTGAAAGAAATCTGTGGAGGGAATTGTCGAAATTTGTTTCCTTACAGGCTGACGATGTTTCCTCTTAAGCAACGCATGTCGTTCGCGTGCCAGTCTATTCGCCTCTGCTACTGCCCGAGTAATTTGCGCCTGATTCTCAGCCTCCAAAGCTGAATGCGTTTCATACAAAATCAATTGAATCTGGAAAACAAAAACTCCTTTATAACTACGTGCTGTAGATTTATATGGATTTCATATAATTAAAAAAAAATGTCATGACATACTTGTGGTTTAGACATGAGTGATTTTAAAGTTTTCTTCTGTTCTTCCAAAATGGATTGCACACGAGCTTTGCCTTCCACATCTATTTCTGACTCTGTTAAAATCTGAAGCGATAAACTCGATCATAGTTTCCTTAATGTCACTTGTAACAAATCTTTGATACAAAGAATATGAATTGTTACCTCTAACATAGCGAGGTCCCCTCCTCGCCCGCAAACAAGATCAATGGGATCTGTGACGGCTGAGTACGAGTTAGGTGGCGTGGCTAGAACAGCAACTACTCCGTCTAATGCGTTGGTTACCACAGGAGTGTCATAGTGTACTGGGTCACTGATAACGCATACGGGAGCCCCGGATTGAGGTGCTTCTGAGGCTTCTATACCTAGTTCACGAAGGGCACAGACGTAGCTTTCTACCCTGAAAAGACATATTGTTAGATAAATACAAATCGATATGAACAACAAACGACAGTATCTTTCGTCTAGTCTAGTCATATCGAAGATTTTGTGAACTAATTGCAATTTTGAATAACGAAAAGTCATAAACATATCATATTACGTTCAATACAGAGAAGTACAATAGCCTGATCGTACTTATCGCCAGCTCCAAAAACAACTAGTTTCCCAAGTTCTGGTGTGGCTGGTGCTGCTGGTGCCTTTGCTTTAAGGACTGCAGCCAGCTCACGTAGTTGAGCAGCGAGGTACGCAGAACATCGAGGGGAAGACGCGTGTGTCTGTGCCACTACTCCTCTGAGACAATTTGCCCGAAGAGCACGGCATAGGGTCGATGCGCCTTCGCAGAATTCACGCTCCTGATATTTGAGAAATAGTTTAATCATTGGCTTAAAAAAAATATTGGAATTGGAAACAGTTCCAGTGTAAGATTAAAATTAAAATGTATGTGGTACCTACCTGAAGCACTATTACTCCGTCTCTTACAAGATCCAATTGGCCAATGCTATCGTTTTCTGGTGGACGTAAAGTGATGAATCTGAAAGTAAGAAACAAAATAGGCAAAAACGAGAATCTACAGTGCATCTATACTTTGACAGAAATCCAAAGACGTCGTACCTTGGACAGACGCGATCAAATCTGTATTCTCCAGCACAAAGTTGTCGAGAGTTACTGTAGGTATATCCGAGCTCATGTAACTTCTTTACTAGAAGGGCAACTTTTCTGGAAATAAACGTTTTTTTTAAGGAAGTAGTGCAGCGAATAACGTCGACCTAAAACTAGGAAAGCAGTTTTTGTTCTAACAATGAAATGTACTTTATGAACATTAACTTAAGAGTTAGATTGTTAGATATAATGATACCGACTTGGCTTTGAAAGTGTTGACCCATCCCGTCACTGTATCCTTGTTGACACACGCAGATACACGTTCTTCACGCAGATGGGGCGGCAATAAATCCGCCAAGCTACAGACAATAAAACATTGTAATGACCTTATACATCACTGCTTGGCCTTCGATATTTGCGTAAGCATGGTACACTTTTTATTTGGGCTCGATAAATATTCAATACGTAGAAGGTTTTGTACAAGGGCAAAAATTCCCTAAAATATTCAAAGAAATGTAACGTTTCCTTGTTCGTTTTGTTTCTCTGCTTACAGTCATCGTTTATAATTGAAATAATTACTTAGGTTTGATTTAATATAGTATTAACGTTGAAACTTACGAGAAAGCGCGATTTTTAATTCGAATTCTAGCGATAGCAGCAGCTAAATGGACCCTTTCATCCCATAAAATGTTCTCAATATTTTTGAAAGGATATCCAGCCTCTTCCAGGAGTTGCGTGGCTCGCTCCATTTCGCTGCGTGAACGAGCTCCCCATCGGCGTCTCGTCAATTCCATCAGAAACAGCCATAATGCGTGACGATGTTCCAAAAACTGGAAGGATAAATCATGCCTAAACTAACAAAGAAAAAGCTACTAAGTACTAAAATTAACATGCGAAAATGTAAATATTCAAAAGTAAAGATAGACGACTAAGTTATGAAAGAAATGTAAAAAACCTATATGAAAAGCGTTACATTTAGATAAAGGACTTACAATTTGCAGAAACACCAATTAAAGGTGTCTCCCAAAAACGTCTCGAACACGACAAGACAACCAGTGTCTTTATTAATAGAAACCATTTTATCAGTCTCGAAATCTACAAAAATACCGATTTTTTTCCGTTGCCTTACAAGAATAAAAGGTCATATATATAGAGTTCAATTTCGTGAGCATTCTTAACATTTGAAAAAGAAATGGTTTTGGTCACGAGACCGCCGTAATGCGAGTTAGATGGGGCATACTTTTTACTGTAACATCTTGTCGAACCTACCCTAACTGGGAGTTATTACTGGTCGGTAATGAGGGCTGTACCTATATACATACCTTGCCTTGACAACCACAATGGTTAAAGAGACCTTCGTAAATACAAGTTCAAGAACGACATAAGAATGAAAAATGTTTTGGTTCGCAGCTGGATTTTCTGTTGTACGAGTATAACAGTCGTGAGATGTCTTAGATAAGTGACTGTAAATGCACCTGACATGCACAAGCGAGGATCTTTTGTTGGACTGTAACTGGCATTTAAATGTGCGGAAGCCAGAAGATGTACCAAAAACATATTTTTTTTTAAAAGAGTTATAATTTAATAACCATAAGCAGTCTACTTACCTCGCGATGTTCCACCAAAAACGCAACATCTTCCAAAGCTTGATCCAATATGGATTTATCTGCAAACATTAAGTATTTCGAAATACATATAAATCTTACGAAAGCGAAGTTCAAATAAAACCGCAAAATAAATATGTCGCGTGACCGAAAACTTCTATATGGATAGACATCCAAAGTGCTGAATAATAAAAAGGCCAAATAGCATAGAATTCATGGTATTTTTATTTTGGCGTACACAGACATAATAGCTTGTAACAGTGGATATTTAGGTCTTGTAAGAGTTCTAGTTGGAAGTTTTAAATATTTTTTATTAAGGGACCACCCACTCTTAGTAAATCGTAGTAGATGATGGCATGCATTATCACTGCTTATAAAGTAGGACCCAACAGGTTCAGCCGAACCTACCTAAGACTAAGACTGACTAGTTAAGAAAATTACAGGAGAAAGGAGATCATAAACTTCATCTTTTCTCCAAGGCTCTCGAGTATCAATAGTCCAATTACTACACTACTACTAAAATTAAAATAGATCCAAATTGAGGATCTGCCTAACCATGTCGTCGAATCCTATGCCCTGTAGAAGTCTTTTGTTTACCAGCTGTTCTTACTATTAAATTAATACACAAAATTCTACAGCACTTCTAAAATACACAAAAGTATGCTACTAAAAAATACTCTGAATATTAATAGCGAAGAAATATTTAAGTTAGCACGCTATTTATCGCAACTTTTATCGTGTAGGCATCAACTTGATAAAGTTGAGTAACGCTTCGAAACTGCAATAAAGAGGCTTAGCATGGCGTTTGTTAATTTACAACTGTAACCATGACTTGTGAGTATACTTCTAAACTCCGTGACACTTCACTTTTACCCGACTTTCGTTTTTAATATTAAATGAATGGCAGTGATGGATTCATCAAGCGTGGGGCCCGCAGCAAATTCTATTGAGGGGCCCCGATCTTGGGGCCAGGGTTGTCCCTGGAAGTATGGATTTAACTGAACAGAGGCATTAGGAACGTGATTCCAAAACTTTTAGCTCTGGTTGAGAGGTGTGAGTTTCATTAAAGAAGTAGATTTTTTTTTTGTTTTAAGGGGGAAATCATCGAATGACTGCTCCCGCCTGGGGGAGGCGGGAGGGAGTTCAGACTCTTACTGACTAAAAACCGCCCAGTTCCTTCTTCTGCACTTCGAGCCGGAGCCCCGGTAACCCGTTAGGTTCTCCGCGACAAGGAAGTAAGAATAAAATTGACAGTTGACAGTTTTTAGTATGGATGAATTGTCAAATATGTATTCAAAATTATTCCTCTGATAAAATTTAACTGAGCATTGAAAAATCGGCCCTAAAGCGGCTACTCGATTGGCTTACGCAGTTTAGCTATCCGGGCCCCCTTCAGTGTGGGGCCCCTCGCAAATGCTACTTTGCTACGCGGTTAATCCGGTACTGACGAATGGCTGATACACTATATGGTATGTGGCAGTCATTTACAACCATAGGTTCACGCAACCAAAGTTTTTATTTCGTGTTATATGAGCTTTTATACGCTTCTGTTTTGTTTTAACGGCTTTTACTCGTGGGTAGAGGATTAAAACTCCTATATAAAGGTTTATGGTGAAGGAGTTTAGACATGGGGACTATAAATTTTATTTAACTGGGTAAATATAACTTCGTTGAATGAGTGGTCGCAAGCACGTTGGGCGAGAAAGGGTCTCGAATTCGATTGTTGTTGGATAAGTAACTTCTTTACTAAAATGGAACTATTTATGATTATTTATCAATAAATGTGCGATTGTTCTTTCTCTTATATATAGAAAAGGATTCAAACGAAGCGACGAATCATCTGATATAGATGGTCAACACCAGAGACGTTGCAAGTGCGTTGCCTGCATTGGAAAAAGGCGTAACAAATACTGATGATGTAAGATCAAAAATTTGATGATGCTGATGTAGCTAATGATATTGTAGAGAAGTTTGGTACTTACATCTAAAAACTTCGTAAATGAGGGAATAAACACAACGCATTTCTTGCTCGTCAACGAAGTCCACAGGCAACGGCGGCTTACACAGCAAGCGTGCAGCTTTTAGCACCTGACAATTCACAAGGTATTATTCACCATCCTTCGGGTGTCGTTTATCCTTAATTTTGAGTGTGATGAACTCAACGAATCACTTTCTCCTGGACTTTCGTATGTTTGCCATCTTGCCCTATCTTTGGTAGTATGGTTGGCATTACAGACAACATACCCAAGGGTCAGACTGGTAGAAAATGCCTGCGGCATTAAGTCCCCCCATGTGCTTGTTTGTGTGCATAAAGCTTTTTAAATAAATAAATAAAATAAATAAATAATAAGTATGTTGTTTTTAAAATTTTAAATAGATACTTAATTGGTCATACCAGCGCATGGGGCTTTTACAGCCTCTAAGTACTTTTCCATTTACTTTGTTTGTCCGTCAGAAGTAATAACTTATAGTTATACTTTCAAGTACTAAAAATAGTGTATTGTGAGTTGTTTGTGTTCAATGACTAGTACTTTCTAGGTTATATTAAAAGAAGTCTACACTACAAACATACATTAGACACTGAAACACTATGATTGCCTTGTAATGTAATACAGCCCTACAAGGCCCAGTTAATAGGTAGGTAAGTAGGTATAGTTCAAGCCTTGACTGTTACGAGCTCATTCCAAATCTTAATAGGAATCTTTTAAATAGTTTCGTTTTAATGGAGTCGTTATTAGATTTTGTTGTAGCAAAGTTCTACTTGTAACTGTAAGTTTATTTCTGTACCTAATTAGAAAAGTATTATGACACTGTATTTATTTATTGCATGCTGTCGATTGTTAATTGACAATTTTGTTAATCAAAATAAATTCGTCTGTTCTAGTAGCTCCACTATCAAGGCATCAGGGTAGAAAATATTACTTTTCTACAACGGTTTACCAGACTATGACAATATAGGAAATAGGACCTTAGGATGTTATAAAATCTTGAAAATAAATATTTATGATTGGTATTTATTGTAACATAACATCGCGCCTTTTATCCCCGAAAGGGTAGGAAGAAGTGCACGTTATGTGTATACGTATGTCATGTACTGTACAATGTAACACCCACTTTTGACTATTTACCTGGAGTAACCTAATTTGATACTTTATAATAATTTGTTTGTTTGTTACGTCTTCACGTCGGTTGCTATACTGATATTTTTTAAATTTGCCAGATTCTATTCAAAACTTAAGTTTACCTGTCCAATATCCCAAGCAGGACCCGGCGAAGTTTTGACAGCGACTGGTGGTGGTGCATGAGGATTCTTGGTGGCTACCACGAGTGACCATGGTGCCCATTCCTCCACCGGTTCTTCCACCGGTTTAGCCACTTTGTTACCATCTTCGTCCCTAAGTAGAGGATGAGGGTTTTTATTCAAAATTTGCTGTTTATCGATTCTATTTTCTTTAGTTTTTGAGGAGAGTTAAACCTACAAAACGTGGGCTATGCTATCTGCGTAAACTGCCCTATATAACCGACAGAATATGAAGAATAATCAGTTTTGTTGACTATTTTCCCAAGAGAGTAGACTAAGCTAACTGCTATGGTACCAGTAGGTATTTATTGATGGGCCTAGCCTTTTGTATGATAAATCGGGTTCTTAAAAAAACTGCTGGTTATTCATGTTGTTTCTTTTACGCAAATTATAGACTTACGCCACAGAAGGACATGATTGTTCTATCATTGCCTCCATTGGGTGCGTTGAGCCATCATAATTTTTTTTAACAATATCCACACACCACAGTTTCGTTTCGTTTACAACACCTGCATAATAATATTACGTCCGACACAAGAAGTCTGAGAATTACGTTTGGATATTAAAATGGATCTATTAAATAAATTATAACTAAGTAATACAATATATGACGCTAAATAATTTAAGTAATAGGTAGTTATTTGATTATTTTTTTGGGACCTGAGATGTGTTATTTGTTTGTTTTGACATAGTGCAACTGTTATGACAATAGGTTTTATTTTAAATTTAAGTAGGTTTTATTGTGGCCAGTGTTTCGTTTATGGGCTACGAGATTTAAGTATATGTAACCCCTTTCACACACTTGTTTCTACGAAAGGTTAAGCTTAGGCAGACATGGAAATTGTAGCTGTAATTTTCCCCCATGTAGGTACCTTAATTATAACGGAACGCAGGGGTACACTAAAAAGACTGGGGAGTGTGGTATTCTTCTCTATCTCACTTAAACCATTCCAGTGGTTCCCCATCAGCACGTTTTAGGGTTCTCTAAGTCTACCTTCATCCTACCTCTTAGTAGGCAACTCGTACTATTTACCTGGATGCATCAGACTATCGGTGTGTAGGTATGAAGTTACCTCTATCCTAGCGTGAGCGATGCACCGTATTTCAAATTTATCGGTAAACCACACAATTTACCCAGTGCTTTCATTTGATGCATTCGCTGAAGTAATGGTATTGAGACCGCACATGCAACGTACGTGAATCACTCAGACCATATGTAGTTATGTAAGAACAATACCCATGTATCTGCGATGTACCATATTATTTGAAATGAAATGGATTATTTTTAAAACATTTTTTGTGTCGGTGGTTGGTTCTAGAGTTTTGTTCAATATGGGCCATAGGTAGGCGGATGACGATGACGATGATGATTGTAGAACAATTGCCTAATAGACCGAGGTGCCGTCACTTTTGAGCGTCGCAATATTGGAGATGGATGTCCGTAGAAGATATCTCACATTTACGGCCATTAAGAGTAAGTAAAGTTATTTTACATACTATATACCTACTTGCATGAAAAATGTAAATAAAAATGGCGTAAGGAGACTCAGCAAAGTCATTTATTTATTGTATAAGCCGGTAAACTATACAGTGTACAACTATACGGTGTACATATAGTATGTCTATATCTGTGATGAGCAGACTAACAGACGGATCACCTGATGATAAACTATCGGCGCTGCCCATGGAAGCCCAAAACACCAGAGGTGTTACAAATGGGTTACCGGCCTTTTGGGTATTAAGAATTTCAGGATTATTGGGGATTCAAGGATTGGGGAGATTGAGAAGGGGGTAATTGGGCCTCCGGTAACCTCACTCATACGATGAAACAAAATGCAAGTGATTTTATGACGTCGGTTTTCTGTGAGGCCGTGATATCACTCCGATCGAGCCAGCCCATTCGTGCCGAAGCATGGCTCTCCCACACTTAGATTTTACATATTTAAGGAAACCCTTTCATTTTTCTTAACTTCCAAACATATAATATTTGATATTTCATCGTACTATCCATCCACCGTCCTAGTGTCTATTCAGCAACTCTAGAATCACGTCTATTTCCAGAACATATCATTTGAATGAACAATTGGCATTATGCACATCAATAGTTGGAACCGTCAACCGTGTAGCCATGGTGTTCCATCCAATTAATGCTATGTCATTTGTAAGGTGTCTGGTAGATTGGAGCGGTTCATAGGGTTATGTGGAGGTCATGGCCGAGCTATATGCCATGAACACGGGGTCCCACGCAATCAACGGCTATAATTATAAATCTAGTTTGTTTTACCTACGTAATTTAAGAGTTAATGAGGTATTCTGAAACGGAACTTTGGTGTTTATTTGTGTTTTGTTTCTATTTGGGTATCAATTGTGTTGCTTGCTGGTAGTTGGTAGGTTTTCAGTTTAATATCAAGATTAGAGAGTTTTTATTCGATTACAAAAAAAATCTTACCGTAGCGTAATTAATCTTATTAGAAGAAAATAATTACGCTATTGATATGGATCATAAATTAACTACATAGATAGATATGCTTTGATAATTATTTTTTAATGAAAAATTCCTACTGACACCATTTAGGGACAAAACTACGGATACTTACTCTTCCAAGTCCTTCTGTAATTCGACAAGGACGAAGTATTTCTGCAGTCTATAGTCCTTATCGCTAGGAAGGACCAGTTTCTCAGCTTCACTGGTGTCACCATCCTGTCTCGCAGCCTCCTCCTGCAGGAACAGCTGTGCCAACAACTTCGGGTACACCTCGAAGACGTTACCATCACTGTACTGGTTGAGTGCCACCCACAAAGTGTTCGGGTCATATTTGACGGGCATGATATCGACATTTCAAATGTTATGTTTTAATTCATAATTAATTTAAAAATAAAATGCCCTTGCCTGCCAAGTTTCCAAAAACACATTTTTGAAATGCTCTTCGTATTCAAGGATCATTTTTATGAGAGTATATTTTTCGCAAACGAATAGTAACGTGAGCGCGTGTGGAGGAAAGTATTCGCGAAGAGCTTCCCGCCAACTGAATGACGGTTGAGGCAACCGACAGCTCCGTAGGAATCAACTTGTTGCTTTGCGTGGTACAGTTCAGTAATAGTATGTTGGAGGCGTGGTTTCATATTATATGCCTTGAGGTAGCAGTCGATATTTTTTTTATTTTATCTTTATTTTGGTGCTAAAATAATTTACAGAACGCAACCAGGTATAACGCTTGCCCTTTAATAGCAAACAGTTTGTCTAACTATTTAAGCAGCTACCAAAGAGTAAAACATCTTTTATTATCTAGGTAAAAATTACGTAATCACCTGTAATCACTATTCAAGTTACAACGTCAATGTGACAAATTGGTCCAAAAAGCAAATAATAAAACACTAAAAATGGGGACCGAAACTAAATGAACATCAAAAAGCCCAGGAAATAGAATCACCAAATAGCCACAAACATCCCATAACCACGGCAAAACCAAAACACCGTAAAATGAACGTAATGACAAAAGAAGATAGTTATGCAGAAAGAAGGCAACTTTTTAAAAATATTTGGGAAACGGCGATGCAAATGGACGAGAAGGACGCAGATAACATTATGAAGAAACCAAAAGTTATCAAGTAACAACGTTTCTTGCTCTTACCGTGTCGGATTAACCACGTCACAATTAAGAGTAGTATTTGCTGTAGGCCCCGCATATCCCAACCCATGTCCATCTTAGAGTGAATTTTTGCAGTGAAACTTAGTTTTTTTCGGAATTATACTTCCGAAAAAAACTAAGGAGGAAAAAAGTTAAGGACAGCACTGGCATCTCTCGAGTCTTTTTTTATAATTTTTTTTTTTTTTTGGTCAGTGGATTATCTTAGGGGCGAATTTTTTTACTAGGTCTTCGGCAGATAGCAGATTCTATTTAATATAAAAAATAGCTTTCATAAGTAATTAATCATTTTCAGAACTTTAAGGTTAGACGAAGTGGACAGATGTTTCATAGGTAAAGGAAAGAAAGAAAAAATACGGACCTTAAGAACAGTTTGCAAAAAAATATTAGACTTTTGCGACAGACAAGATGAGGATGATCGGTTTTATGAGCAGGTATCTTTGCCATTTTAAAAGAACTGAATATCATAAGAATATAGCTCTATTAGCTCTCTATCTAAGTAATACTTAGGTCTCGAATGTCTCAACCAACTTGTAAGTTCCTTCTCGTTATCTAAAACTTGAACTCGATACACGGGCTTTTTGTAAAAAGGTAGAGCTTTTTTACCCGATTGAGGCTAAGGAGTCACGGCGCAATTTTTTCCCGCGACCGCCGCGGTTTCGGACCCGCAGCTTTTGTAGAATACTGCTGATGTATGTATGAAAAAATAAAAGCAATTTTCACGGTGCGTTTTACGCCCGCGGCGGTTGCGATTGTTTGCGGCTCTCGCTGCATTGGCGGGCGCGGCCACAGTTCCGCAGTCGCGGCAGCTAGCACGCGCGTGCTCTACGATCGGTTGGCGAGCAATTGCAATGGGACGGCTGGTCAAGAACCCAACTGATTGTTTGGCCTGCCCGTCATTCGTAATTAACCGTCAAGTTTGCGGGCGATAATCGCAACTGCGGTGGCTGCGGATCGCAGAAAACTATGAGTTTTGAAAATTGCGCCTCCACCGCGGCGAGCGCGCGAAAAGGTCGTGCCGTGAGACCTTAGCCTTAAGGAAGGGCATTGTTTTCTCTTTCCTAAGAAACCATGTACCTAACTTAAAATCCTGTACATTCACAGGTAATTGAAAAAAAGGAGTTACGCCAACATAAACCAGAATATAAACACAAAAAAACAAAAACCCATAGAGGAAGGAAAAAGGTCAAATTGTCAAAAAGTTTATTTGCGCCATTAAAATCTGTTGCTGGTCCAGCTAAACCAACGACTTCAGAAAGAAAGGATGGCAATTCTAGACAAATTTCGAATACAACCGAGAATCATTTGCCAGTTAAGGCAAAGAGACCTATAACTGTGCGAAGGACTTTGGTTCGACACAATATATCGAAGGTTAAGGCTGCTATTATTGAAGGAAATAATGCTGGCACTAGTCGCCGTAAGATTGGTAAGAAAAAACGTGGCAAACGAAAAAAATCATCTGTTGTCGGTGGCACCATTGCACCACCGAAACCATCAGGTACACATACACTCGACTGGTCACGCCTCAATCTAAACTTTGATGCCGTGTCAACGTGATGTGTTGAAGAATATTTATGCGTTATGCATTTTCAGGTGCTTCAAATAATGTGCGTTACGTTTCTACTCCGTTGACAGGACATGCGATTGTAAGACGCATAAAACAAGTCCTAACAAATCATAAAATAGCTGTCACTTAGTCCACATAACAGGTGGACCGTACCGATTATTTCTACAGGACTCTATTGTGATATGAATACCAGTCATTAATCATTTTAACTAGTTCTAAAACATAATAAAGATGCCAGTAATTTTGTATGTACCTATTGTATTATTGTAGATTATATTATAACATCGTACCTTTTTATAAGAGGGAGTAAGCAGAGGGCACATAATTATTATGGGAACGGAAGGTACAATGTAACATACACGTGGAAGTGTTATGTTTCGGCTCCACCATGTCCCAAAGCCCCCTTAGCCTCCTATGCAAGAAAAAAACCCTTTCACCAGTTATGCTACGAGTTATTTGGAGTCACATACCGAGCATCATTCTAAAGCTCGTGCATCATTTCGTGCTACTGCTATAAACGATATATTGCCTGATCCGACAATCCAACCCGGAACCCTTTGCCTGATAAATGGATTGATATAACAGTACAAGTAATGCTATGTATCTTAATTCATACAATTATACCTTCTGTAATAAATTGGTTTGACATGGATAGATACTCCACAAATACCTTTTTATATTTGTCCAACAACCTACTGCATACTCGCATGGAAGCACGTAAGGACAAAAGGCAAAATAAAAATAATAATTGTTCAAAATCCAAATAATCATTGTTCTTTCTAATTTTATTTAATGAATTAAAAAACATTTCAAGACGTTTCCTGTTAACTGTGTAGGCAAATTTCTGAACGACACAGTAGTGATGTAGCATTTTATTACTTACTACTGTCAAGTTAATTGTGTGTCAATTTTTAGTCGATTATGAAACGATAATAATGAGACATTTTTTATAACTAAAAATATATTTATTTATCATAAATATGCTAGGTATATATGCTGTGTTACTTGTTTAATGTTGTTGTGTACAATTAAATTATTGGGATACCAACTCATACATTAATTCCGTCCTCATATCAAACTTAGTTAAATAATCGATAACGCTAATTCGTTTAGTCGATTGAACTGAATGAGATTGAAACCAGTAACGTCACCATTACTATACACCTAAATAAAAAATACCGTTATGTTCATTGGTTGAGTGAATGTTTCTCTTTATGCTTATTGCATTACAGAGGAATTTAACTGTCAAACGTTGATGAATGTATATTTCTAATTTAGTCGTGTTATGTTTCGAATGATGCATACAAATTGAATTGACCCAGTAAAATAATAAAATAAAATCGAGCCGAGATTCATCCAAAATTGTATTATGTAGTGAAAATTAAACAAATAAAACGTTATCGGGAAGATTCCTCTGGTAAGACAAAGATTGATACATTGGGAACCGCTCGTGTGCCGCGTACAAATGTTTAGTTGTAAAGTTTTTGTGTAGTGTTATGTGCTCATCGCTAAACAGTGGTATTATTGTTATAATTCCCACGCTCGTTTTGTGAATGTTGTAGATACATATTGAGGGAGGTCCGATAATGTCTGACTACGATCTTCAGTTTCAAGCGGATTTGGAGAAGGCCCAGGCTTTGAGTTTAGAAAGTCTTGCTTTGGATCAGTTTCGTAGACAGAAGCTACTGTCTAGCGCAGGTAACTGACGTAACTTTGTTTACTCTGCGAGATTACTGATGGTCCAAGGCTTCTGTAAAGATTCACGCAGCCACCTACTAATGTTGTGTTAATGATAACGTTAATTTGGTTCATTCCATTACATTTCGTAACCACCTACGCGAATGCCTCATATTAATGTAAATAGGTTAAAAAACCAGTGCAAAACCAATGATAATAGCTAACTATATCAGTTTAAAATTACTGTTATTTTGTAGTAGAAGTTTAAATAACTACTACTTGCAATTTGCCTGCAGGTAAATTGGTTATATGCTATCTACTGTTTTGTTTCTATAAATATTTATTACTACCAATAACTATAACTATTTAACAGTATCTATTTGAGTACTAATTTGTTAATGGAGCAAACAGTATAATCATTAAGAAAGTAAGACAATAAATACCGACAATAAAACGAAATAAACGGTGTTTCAAAATAGGGTGAAGTCATAGAATGTAATTAATCAAAATATTTTCTACCTAATTGGTTTTTACCCAATCACATTTTATAGGTATCCAGCCAATATGAATCAGTTGAAAGAGGTTCTTAAATTGGAATGTGAACTTTGCCATCTTTGATAATGCCGCTGCAACTGCACAAAAATAAAAAAATATATATTTGTGCAGTGCAGAGGTAGTTATTAAACTCTGTACAATTTTTTATGGCACATTACATTATGTTTAGATTTTGCTTTATTTTCCCATAAACAATTATATAATTTTCCCTGTTTGTAAAAAGTAGATAATATGATAACAGCAGGATTATATTTAAGTATGAATAATATAAAACAGTTTTACCGAAATAAAATGCAATGAATACTGACAATTGAAGTGGCAACTGACCTTTTATTGGCACAACGAGATCAATTGATGCAGTGTAAACAAGAAAAATTAATAAGCATTGTGACTACAGCAAAATGTCTGTGAGTATATCAATCAAAAGGGAAGTAAGGTCAATGACCTCACTCGTAAATGGGGCACTGATTATATGAAATCATGATAACTGTATCTTCTTTTATATGAAAGTGTCATGCTGCAAGCTAATATAGAAGTACAAATGATTTGAAATTGAAACACGATAGTAACTTTAATATTTGACTAATTGTTATTAAGAACATTGTTTGTATTGTAGTCATACTTCAGGGAATGTTTATCTCTTTCACTTTGTTATCTACAACAAAAACTATTGATACCTTGTGCCTAATCATTGGTGATTGGCTTATCACGTTGATATTGTCTAGATAATGTCCGCGAGGTGGCTAGTGTTAGTGGCCGACGGCGTGAGGAGACCGACGGGCCGCCGCCTGCGCTGCCACCGCCGCCGCGCAAGTCTCCACGAGGACGGACCTCCATCTCTGACGGTCCCAGGTAAACTCATCAATATTCAAGAACCAGTATACTTATCTCTACCAATATCAGTGTCTTTTATCTGATAACAAATGTATTAATGTCTCAATAACATGTTTTAATCAATTCACTATCAATTTTGATTGTGTCCTAAATGTTCTTAGAAGAAATTTTTTTGTCAAATCGAATGATGCAAAGCAAATAGGTTTTGGCGAAACCATTATGGAATATTCTTCTGCGGTTCCCTTAATTTATAAACTCTGAAATCTACAGATCTACAATTAATTTTGCTTTTAAAGTGATAGTTATTCTTATCTCTGTGTGAAGTTATTGTTTAAAGTTATCAGATAAATGGATTGGGAAGCATGCACTGGTAATCTATACTACTTCTAACACTTCAATAAACATTACTTATACATTTTAAATTTTCTAATAGTAAAACCTTGGATGTTGAATGACTTGTATGGTGACGTCATATGTCAGGAATAGGATAATAGAATTTTCGTATAATATTATAGACTGTGTTTATATTATAACTTTCGCGGGACATACTAAATAAATTATTATGTTTTCGGCTTACTCATGTATTTGTTTGACGAGGAACTCGACTAGTTTCAAGCCATGCTAGAGGCTCATATTCATGAGAAGCATTCCGTGACTCGCGACGCGGCGACTGTCGCGTTGCTAATGAGGCTTGAAACTAGTCGAGTTCCTCGCCAAACAATTACGTGAGTAAGTCGAAAACATTATAGACTCGTTAACATGTACCTAATTAAACAACAAAATAAATATGTGTAATCTAAAACAAAAGGTGTTATATTAATAAACGTGTTTATCTTTTGGCATGAGTACAATGTTTAGCCTTGCTTCTTCTTTATGAGGTTAAGAATGTCAAGCATGTTGATAAAAATTTAATGTTTTGCAAGATAAAAGGTGTAAATACTTTTTAATAAGGAAAAATTTGGTGGTGTATTATAATTCAGAGGATTTTGTCAAAGACTAATTGTCTTCTGGGTTTTATTCAACTAGATTGAGGTCAGTACTGAGTGTTAGCCGTGGGGAACGTTACTAGGGCTCCAGCTCTAAGTGCAGCAGCAAAAATGGGATGGTTTTTAGTCAGTAAGAGCCTGACACTCCCTCTCGCCGCACCCGCGCGGTACAAGACATTCGATGATTTCCCCACTTGAAAAAGTACCGAGTCTTACGAGATTCGACTGTTCATAACAACCTAGTGGTGTTCGATCCAATTGTAATGTATTAGTGAATTAGTGGCATCTAATCAAATAATTATTATATCTTCAATGGGAAATTCCTAAATAAATTCCACATTTAATTATGTTTTAAGTTTCTTACAGCCATCCAATGATGACTTGGGCGATGAACTTCTAATATGAAATAATCATAACAGTAGTTGCTTCATAACAGTAGTTAAGGTTATCTAAATGTAGTGAGTCAGACACGAAAGCTGTATAAAATCGTAATCTTAATAATTCGTATTAAATAGAACGCAATTTCAAACAAAGTAACATTATCTAGTATAACATCATATTGTTATTGTTTAATTAACGAATCATATCGTAATCAGACTTCAAAATTACCAATGGAACGGAAACCAGCTGCACAGCAACGTTCTTCAAACTGTAATTTTGATTTTGTACTTTATTACAAATATATAAAGTAGACAATCTTTTGAAGTAATTTGACAGATTGCAGTAGGTAGATTTGCTGTTTAATGACACGAGTACCATGTGAAATGAGTAAATACATACACAAAACCACAGCGCCACCTACGATAATACTTTTGCTTCCTTCACCTTCATGCATCATGCATGATAATCCCTTCTTTTTGGTTCTAGAACTTACCAGTCATTTCATGATGTGGTATGTCTTCATAGAACTTCTACGCAACTGCAAAAGATGGGTTACTTGAAACTGTTGCCAATGCCTGACGTCTTATTGTTATACTTTTTACGTTTTTTACCCATTTTTCCTAGAAGTAGATATTCCTCAAGACACATATATCTAAACATTTTAATGAAAATAAAAACTGTTTTGTTATTTGAACCAAATCTAACTATACTGTTCGCGTCTACTATACCAAAGCGACTGCCAAACAAACTGATACATGTATATTTTTGTCTGTATTCGTCAGATCTACTGGAACCAGTCCAACGAGGGACGAGACGAGCGACTTGATAT